AAAAGGAACATTGGTTATAAGCGTAGAAATATAAACTTGTAATAAATGTTCAAAAGGAAGCTTTTTATAAGCGTAAAAGTGTAAACTTATAATAAAGGTTCAAAAAAAGTTTTATATAAGCGTATCAATATAAACTTACTAAAAATTTTCAAAAGAAAGCTTTTTATAAACATTTTTATAACCCTTTATTTAAAGATATTTCATTAAAACCTCATACATAGATTGCTTAACATCTAGAAACTAAACGAAATGCGAATTCTCCGCGGACTCATCTACAGTCGCGAAAATATAAATAGGGAATAGACATTTTAGCATACAAATTCACAATAACACATACAAATTAAGCATAAAAAAGTTAATTATTACATCTTGTTGCGTGCTTTCAATTACTTGCGGTTATTGGCAAATTGGAAAAGGGACATCGATGCAGCTATATATTGCGCTTTATCGCCGCCATTCTCATTGATGAACTTTTCTGAAAAAAATTTTATACATTTTTAATTGAATGTGAAACTAAGAAAGGATAAGGGGAACTCATCATTTGAAGACTCGAATGCTCCACCGATTAGCGCAGCGGGTCCTGGATTGGATTTTCTTGTTTTACCGCATTGGTTTTATTTAATTTTTTCTTTTAATAATATATTTTAAAAAACGTAAACACGTCACTTACGATTGAAAAAATTTCATATTTACTGCTTCATGTCGTTGGCATTTACATTTCATTTATAAGTTTAAGTTATTTATAAACATTCGCTCTCAAAACTTATTAAAGGTTTGTTTGAAAAAACTTTTAATAAGCTTAATATTAAAAATGCTTATTTAACGCTTATTATAGCAAACTTAATTTAAGTTATTTTTAAAAACGTTTACTGAAATGCTTGTTGGGTACCTTCTTTTTTGTATCATGGTTTAAGTTATTTATAAACATTCGCTCTCAAAACTTATTAAAGGTTTATTTGAAAAAAACGTTTAATAAGCTTAATATTAAAAATGCTTATTTAACGCTATAGCAAACTTAATGTAAGTTATTTTTAAAAACGTTTACTGAAATGCTTTTTGGGATTTAAAAAGCGATACATACATGCAAATTTTCATTTTTATATTATACTAGCTGACCTGGCGAACTTCGTCCCGCCCAAAATTTATTTCTTTATTGAAACATTTAGTCTAACGTTTTCACGACAAATTACGTTCATGCTTGGTTTTGTGACCGACAGAAAGCATATTCTCCATTGCCGTTTTAAATAACCTAACGAAGTCATTATGTCCGTTAAGAAGTTCTTACGGCAACAATGATCCGGTACGATGATGAATCATCCTTGGATCTGTATAGTATAGTTGGGGGCAATTTCAAGATGGGGGAGTATCATTGGTCTACATAAATCCGATTTACATAGACTTATTTCAGACGAAATACCATAAATGTCTTACAAATTTCTTTGTAGGCATTCATCAAGAATTGCCTTTATTCAGTTTAGTCGCCGTAAATCAAGGATCAAGGATTTAACGGTGGTAATTTGACTTTGATGCCTGTTGTCTCCGAATGACTTCACTTGACGTTTTTTAGCAATAACTCCAGCGCAACCTTGCGGATCTTTTTTGCAATACTTTTGCCACTACCGTTACCATTATATAACTCCATTACGAGGCTAATCGGATCAAACATACGATTTTTGGGACTAATTCGACACCAGAGCCACTGTCGAGCAATTTTTTTCACTGCAATCAGGGTTCGTATTTGCACACACATGCTCTGCTCACACACACGCCAGAAACACATTCAACTTGCACTCACTGCTCATACACATGTGTGTGCATATGTGGAAAACAAACTCTGCTCACAGAAAAGTGTGTGCTGTTTGTTACTAAGCACATGCACATGTGTGTGAGCCGATTTTTGTACAAATCTCAGCCCATGCACATGCACATAATATATTTTTAAAAGAATTTGTTTATTAAACGTAATTTTTTGAAACAGAATTCAATAAAAAGTGAGATGTTGTTTGTTTTTTATATGACACAAAACATATTAAAAAATGATTTTAAGATTTGAGTTAGAATTCGAAGTGTACAAGTTTCTCCAAACAAAGCACACACATGTGCATGTGCTTTATATTAATAAAAATAAAGTACACACATGTGCCCGTGCTCATCATGTCGGTCTCCTTGCCGCTGGGGATGGGGCTTAAGTGATGCTATGTCAGTCATACTGGTGTGCCGGGCACAGCACCATGAACCAAGAGGGGTACTGGGGTTTGGCGGCCGTGGGCTGCAGCTCCCATGCGCAGACGCCCGCACCGACGTTCCCCCAAACCAACCAATTCCTTTAACCGACCCCCTCCCCCATACCTATCACCACACCTTTCCCTCCTCTGGAAAGCACTTTAAGCCAGTGGTGTTGAGGTACCCGTGCCGATGGATGAATGGCCAGTAGTGCTTAAAGAACTGGTCGCTAACGGTCCCCTCCGATGCCCGGGCAAGGTCGGTTGTATAAGTGCCTTACCACGGTATGCCGGCTCTGCCGGGGTGGACCACCCCTTCCGAGCATACTCGTGGGAACAAAAAACAATGAACAAAAACAATAATAAAAACAAAAAACAAAACACAAACACAAAATTCGAAGAGAGGAGAGATGTCTCGGAAGACATCCTGAGCGCAGAGGAGGACGTGCTCCTCGCTTCCAGTCAGGACTCTGCACGCTCTTCGACAACAATACCGGTGAGCGCTAAGCCTGGCGATCCCGACAATACCCCATCTTCCTCAAAGGCAGCGTTGAGTGCTCCAGGGAGCACTCCAAAGCAAGAAAGGAGGAAAACCAAGTCCTCGGGGTTGGCGCTCAGGTCGAGGTACAACAGGGCTGTCTTCATTCTTGACGAGATTGCCAAGAATGCAGCGGCCGGTACTGTACACCCCAAGGATGAAGAAGACAGTCGCAGGTGCAATGAAGTGGTGGAGGAGTACCTTACTTCAAAACCAACCAAGAAGCCTGTAGCAGTCAAACGAAGTAGACCTAAGGAGGAGTCTACAACAGAACCAGCTGGAAAAAGGGCGGACACAAAAAGCACGCCCCAGCAAGAATAAACGTTGGCAAAACGACGGTACTGTGAGGTGGTCAGGGATCACCTTCATGTCGCGCTTGTCGACGAAGCCACAGGCAGCGGTAAGCCCGATCAGGAGAGGTGGGTCGAGATCGAGTCAAAACTCTCTGAACGGGTGGGCGACTACCTGTTTGAAAATCCGGACAACCCTATTCCAGGATTTGACTCCAGTGAGTCCCTGAGGGGTTGCCGGATTTTCAAATGTAGAGATGAGTTCTCTAGGGAATTCCTCGGCAAGTGCGTAGCCGAGCTCGGCAACGCCTGGGAGGGTTTGAAGTTCAAACTAATCCCTGCCGAGGAGGTACCTAGGAAACCCAGGACCCGCATTTGGCTGCCGAAGATGGCTATGGATAGCGACAAGTTGATCCGCTTCCTGCAACGGCAGAATCCAGAAATACCCATGAGTGACTGGGTAGTCATTCGTGCAGAAAAGCCACTAGAGGGCGCGCAGAGTTCTTCGTACCTTCTGAGGCTTAACGAAGAAAGTATTGGGCCATTGCAAAAAATGGACAACAAGCTGCTCTTCGGGGTGAGAACAGCGAAACTAAAAATATTCCGCTCCAATGAGCCGATTCCAGAGGCTGGTATCTAGGATGCCAACCAGATGTTGGGCGATAGAACCTCAAGGTTACCGCGGACGAAGAGGTCGCTGAAGATGCCAACCAGGTGCTGGCAGGCACAGGGCCAGTTAACAATGCCGAGAAAGTCGATGAAAGTGGTCCAGGCAAATCTTAGGCACTCTAAGGCTGCCTCGGACAAGCTCCTGGTCTTCCTAAGGGAGGAAGACATCGGCATCTCGCTGATACAGGAACCTTGGGTAAGGGACCTAGAGGTTAAGGGACTCACTGACGCCCGCTATAACGTCTTCTACACTAGTATATCAGGTAAACCCCGCGCGTGTGTATTGGTTAAAAAACATATTAAAGTTTTCTTATGTTCCAATTTCAGCTCACCGGATACTACAGTCGTCAACTTGGAGTTGATGAATAAACAAAGCTGTCTTATATCATCCGTATACATGGCGCACGACAGGTCGTGTCCGCCACAGGAAGTCGTCACTTTACAAAGGCTAGCAGGAGCTAGTCCAGTGTTACTCGGCTGCGATGCCAATTCACGGCATACATTATGGGGCAGCTCGGAAACCAACGAAAGAGATGAGTCGCTATTTCAATTTATTATTGATTCTACGTTTAGAATTTGTAATAGAGGTAGTACTCCCACCTTCATATTTCCTAGAACCTCTGATTTTTGCGGTTGGGAAGAGGTCCTAGACCTAACTCTGCTGACCGAGGGGAGCCTAAAGGTCAATAAATGGAGAGTATCCGACGAGGAGACCCTCTCGGACCACCGCCGAATACTCTTTGAGCTAAATATTGCGGCGGATATGCCTACTCCCTTTAGAAACCCTCGTAAAACAGATTGGGACTTATTTCAAAAGGTTATTGGAAAAGAATTGAAGAAACTACCAGTTGAAGACACTCCTACAAGAGGCGAGCTGGACGCCAAAGCGGACAGCCTGAATAAGGCCTTCGGAAAAGCCCTTACGAAGGCTTGTCCGCTGAGGTATGGCAAGAAAGCGCGCACACCCTGGTGGAATGAGAACCTTACAGCGCTACGGAAGCAAGTAAGAAAATCCTTCAACGAATACTACAGGATTAAGGTATGGGACCTATACAGAGAGAACCTAAAGGAATACAAAAAAGCGATACGGGACGCCAAGGAGGCGTCCTGGAGGGAATTCTGCGAATCCATCGAGGATACCAAGGAATCTGCGAGATTAGCAAAATCCTTGCCAAAGGGAACTCACAGCCAACATATATAAAAAGGTCAGATGGTTCATTGACCGAGTCGGCTGGGGAGTCGCTGGATATCCTTCTGAATACACATTTCCCAGGGTGCAAAATCGATGTAGTGGAAACCGATGCCCCAGACCATATACCAACCCTCTCCGAAGACCTCTTAGAGGAGCTACTAGAGAGGGAAAAGATAAAATTTGCTATCTTCAGCTTCTCACCCTATAAATCACCGGGTATGGACGGAATACTACCAGTCATGCTTCAGAAAGCTTCTGAGATGGTCATTCCAGTCCTTGAAACAATTTTTAGAGGGTGCCTAATACTGAACCACGTTCCGTTAAGCTGGAGGAAGATTAAGGTTATTTTTTATTCCTAAAACGGGAAAACGGGGTCATGACAATGCTAAAGATTTCCGACCAATAAGCCTAATGTCCTTCGTGCTCAAGACGTTTGAGAGGCTGTTGGATCTATATGTTAGGGACAAGACGTCCAATTTATCATGCTCTCAAAATGCGTACTTGAAAGGGAAGTCAACGGAGACTGCCCTACATGAAGTGGTACGTACAATTGAGAGTTCGCTCTACTATAAACAATTTACAATGGCGTCCTTTATAGACATCGAGGGGACCTTTAATAATGTCAGTGTAGATTCCATCCATGAGGCACTTATGGAAACAGGGATTGATCACTGTGCCCGGGCTTGGATAGTGTCTCTGCAAAGGAGCAGAGTAATACATGCCGAACTGGGGTACCAAAGCAGGGCCGTATATGCAGTGAGAGGCACCCCACAGGGAGGAGTGCTGTCACATATGCAGCATGAAATTTTCGTTTTGTATGGGAGATGCCATGCTTCCTCGATATAACGAAATTATTATCAGCCTATAACCAAAAGGTGTCCACAATTCCAAAGAAATCGGTACAGCAATTTGCGAGATCACCTCTTATAAAAAGATGGGACTTCTCTTTACATAATAGGTATAGATCAACGGTTGGCAAACGCGGCTCTTTGAGCCAAATGCGGTCTTTTGCTTCGTAAAGTGCGGCTCTTTTTACCTTCTCTTTGCTTGGAACATTTTGACACTTTCTACTTTTTAAAATATAAACGTATTTCTTTGCTGGACATTTTTTTCCATTGTGTTGTTTTTTTATTTTATTCTTTTTATATACACATACGCAAATTGAGATCGGATCATTACCCGCAATTGGAGAATGAAAATTGGCTTTCTGACTTAATGTTCTTTACCCGTAGGATAGAACATTTGCAAAACTTGAATTTGTCTCTGCAAGGAAAAAATAAAAATGTTTTGGATTAGTCGCAAATTATTTTAATTTTTGAAGCTAAACTAAATATTTTATCATTTCTTATGGCTAGAAAAATAAACATTGCACATGATTTAAAAGCAGATTTTGAATAAAAATTTGCCGATTTGAAATTATTTAAATTTACGTTTACGTTTAACATAATTGAGGATGAATTTACAATATCCGAAATACTCCTTTTTAAGAAAAGCGAGAAGAATTGGAGTTGTTGTAATTAAAACAAGATAAGGCACTGGAAATGCAACATAAAGCTTTACCATTTCTTGAATTCTGGCAACAAGTCCAGATTTAAAATATACGCTGTTGAAAACGACTGCGTGGCGTATATTTTCAATTTTTGGTACAACGTATAACTCTGAGTCTTTGTACGAACGGCTTTAACTGACGTAAAACCAGATTTTGAAAATTTGGCCAAATGGATCTTTTGAATTTTCTTTAATATCTACATATCTTACGTACATTAGAATAGTAACAAAGTTAGTGTTTTTCATTTCTAATAATAATTTTATTTAAATATAAAATTTTTGTTTTTTTTGTGGCTCTTTGTAGCATTCGTAATAATCAATGCGGAGCTTTTGCGAATGCACTTATTTTGCAAGTGGCCCGATAAAACGTATATATGGCAAACAAATTACAAATTGTGGCCAATATTTTTGCCTGTGGTCGTAGAAGTGTTTGTGTAACAAAACTGGTCAAAGGTCATATTTATCAACTTTGATAAAAATGTCTTTAAAATATTATTTCTTAAGCTATATAACCGAGCTATCAATGGGCAGCCATAAAAGTTCCCACTTCTACTTGACCTTTGACGTACGTCAAAGAGAACATAGTCCTTTTAATACAATTTTTTTCTGTGCTTTAAATACCTGCTTTGGTTCCTTTCTTTATTATGATTTTTTTGGACAATCTTTAAAAAAAGACACAAAAGAAGAAAGTGTGCACTGTAATTCTTAACAAAATTTTCGTGATTTGCTTTTGATGTTATAGGCGGCATACACGGTGCGTCTGACTCGTGAGTCGGTTTAGATGTGTTCGTGAAAATAAATATGGGTTAGTTACACCAACATGACTCCCGGCAAGACTCTGAATGATTCAACTGTATGTAGTCGATGATTCAACTGTGTGTGAATAGGTCTAGTTAGATCTTTAACGAAAAGATGTGCTATGGGTTTGCGTGTCTATGGATAATAAATTAGACGATTGTTCCAAAAAATATATCTAAAAGAAAAAAAAAAATTTTGGTTATTGAATGACGGGGGCTGCTAGCATAACAAAAATCATTCAATTCTATTCTATGTACATATGTATATCTATAATACGTGTGCCGAATTTCAAGCAAATCGGACCATAAATAAGATATCTTCCAATAGATTGGTCCCTAGTCTACCTATCAGAAAATGTATCCTACATATCTCCCACGATCTTCAAAGGTGATACAGCTCAAAATTACACTTTGCCTTAGGTTTTTTTCAACAAATTATAACAAAAATTTCTCCAGCTTTTGCTAAGAGGTAAATAAAAGCTCTATGTACATTTTTAGTGCCTAATTTCCAAAATACCAAATTTTTAGTTGTGTCACTTTTGAAGATCGTGTGCGATATATGCTAATCCAGGCATGTACGTGCTAAATTTCAAACAAATCTCACCATAAATATGATTTTGGGATAGATCGGTGTCTGGTATACCTACCGGAAAAAAGTAAATTTTTGGGCCCTTGACATGGTGGTTGCTGAAAGCTATGTATAAACAAGATTTCATTAAAATCTGAACTGTCGTTCGCGTTATTGTTTATTATTATTGATGTGGTGAGATGCAAAAAATTGTGAGCAACAAAACCAAAAGTCAGCATATAGAGAAATCAGAGAGCATACTTTTTATACCCGAGCGTACTTGTACAAAAAGGTATATTAATTTTGTTCACATAACGGTTGTTTGTAACAGCCAAAACGCATCGAGATAGATATAGACAAATGTATACATAAATGCTCAGAATGAATAGAGAAATCGATTAAGCCATGTCTGTCTGTCCGTCCGTCTGTCCGTCCGTCCGTGTACACGATAACTCGAGGAAAAATTTAGATATCTCAACGAAATTTAGCATGTCGGTTTCCTTTGATCCAAGGTAGGTTGGTATTGAAAATTTGCGAAAACGGACTGTAACCACGCCCGCTTCCCATATAACGGTAATTTCCAGAAATACGAAAACTGCGATATTTTAGTAACTACTGAAGATAATTCACTCAAAATTGATATTTACAATAATTTTTAGACGAAAAATAGGTAGGTAGGTAGGTAGAAGTGGCTGCCGCCCTAGCGGCACACTTAGGCCATAGATAGAAGGCCCATTGTGATACCACAGTTGACACCGTTCAATTATCCTCCCCATTGAACCACTTCGTGTCGCTGATGAATCTCATCAGGCACTTCGCATCGGTATTTGAAACCTCCCTAAGGTCGGCCAGGAATGGTGAACCCAGATGACGCAGCCTGCTTCTGCACATTGCAGGGCATTTACACAAGAGATGCAAGACTGTCTCCTCCTCTTCGTCGTCCTTGCAGCTTCTGCAGCATCTACGAAAGGGCACCCCGAGCCTTTCTGCATGTTTACCTATTAAGTAGTGCCCGGCTAGGGCCCCAACGACGTTAGATATGTCCTCTCTTCTAAGAGAGTAAACCCTTCGTTACCGTCTCCGGTCCCATTTAGGCCAAGTCTGCCTGGAAACTCGACAAGTCGTACTTTGACTCCATCTTTCTTCAGCTTGTTTATACACAAATTCACTAATTAGCAGTTTGCAAGTGGCAAAAGGCATACCAATGCGTTCTTTACCAGGAAGAATCTGCCCGGTCGTGCCTTGCCTTGCAAGTTCATCTGCCATGCAGTTTCACTCTATGTCCCTATGACCAGGGACCCAAGTGAGGTGAAGTCTGTTCTGCTTGGCTATCTCCTGTAGAGATAGGCGGCAGTGCAGCGCAATCTTTGAGGTTCGCAGCCTGGCTATCACTAAAAATGAAGATGTCCCTTCCCATCATTTCGGTTCCAAGCTTCTCAGCAGCTTCCATGATGGCTGAAACTTCCGCTTAGAATACGCTGCAGTAGTCCGGTAACCTAAAAGAGATCTTTAGAGGAGGGTTTCGTGAGAAAACGCCGCTTCCTACCTTGCCGTCGAGTTTTGAACCATCTGTATAGATGTTAATGCCATCGGATGGAGTGTTGAAATCTTCTTTCCACTCCTCTCTGCTTGGAATTCTGATGCTGAAGTTGCTTTACGGAATCGATGTCGAAGCACAGCGGTCTGTGCTGTTCGGAATGAAGCAGAATTCATTTAATATACAAGAGTGTCCCTGGGCTACAGGTTGCCATTGGGATGCCTCTCTTAAACGAAGAGCAGCGAGCGCTGCCATCTGCTTTCCTACCAAATCCAGTGGCAGAAGATCCAAAATAGCGTTCAGAGCATCGCTTGGCGTGGTTCTGAGCGCTCCGCTTATGCAGATCATACTAGACCCTTGCACCTGGTGAGAAGCCTGAGATTGACCTCTTTATCTAACGCAGGCCACCACACGATCACTCCATACAGGAGTATTGGTCTGACGACTGCTATAAATATCCATCGACAGATCCGGGGACTGAGGCCCCATCTCTTGCCTATGACCCTTTTACAAGTATAGAGGGCAACGGAAGCCTTTTCATAACGCTGAATCATATTATCCCTCCAGCATAGCTTCTTATCTAAGATAACGCCAAGAAATTTGGCTTTTGTAGAGAGACTTAACCGGACGCCGTTTAGCTCCGGTGTAGTGACGGAAGGCATTTTATACCATCTCGTGAAGAGGACGAGCTCCGCTTTGCTTGAGCTAACGCTCAGGCCACAGCGGGTAGACCACTTGGATACATCCCGAAGCGTTCGCTGCATCAGCTCGCATAGAGTTTGCGGAAATTTTCCCCTGAAAGCGATTGCAATGTCGTCGGCATATGCAACAACTTTTTCTCCCCCCCCAATCCGTTCCACACAAGAGCGTGTTGACGGTCAGGTTCCACA